ATCACGACTGAGGAAGTATGTACATGGTGGTCTACTATATATATGTTTCTGAAAGTCAGCCATGAGGCGCTGACTGATCTAACATGCAGCAGCCATGAGGCGCTGACTGATGTTCTTTGTAATGGTTCTAGACTCTTGTCACGTGATGGTCACGTGATCTGATATAACTACGTATTATGTTATCCGCGCTAAAGCAGCAGCTTAACATATCTTATCTGTCATGTGATCAGATATCAAAGAAAATGAAAAAGGGAACTAGCGCTCAGATTAGCGCTTCTGGTTCAAGTCGTGACATTACCCCCTCCTTAGGACTTTCGTCCCGAAAGTAGGGGTCCATCTTTCCGTTTTCCCAATTAAACAATTGTTTTCAGACTCTAGTCGTTGTGAAGTTTTCGAAGGGTTGGAAATGTAATTGAAATCGGATCCGTCGGGGTGCACTAGGGTTGTTATCGTGGAATGTTTTTACTTTGTCGGGTGAGTTGTTTAGGTGTTGTTCGGGTTCCCACGTGCGTTCCTCTTTTGGATAGTTCTTCCAGTGTACTAAGTATTCCAATTTCCCTCGTTTTAGACGTGAGTCTAGAACTTCTTCGACTTCGTATTCTTCTTGTCCGTCTACTATTACCGGCGGTATCGGTTTAGGTTTCTGTTGGGAAGGGAACTGTGGTTCTTTGTACGGTGTAAGCTTTATCTCGTTGAAAACTGGATGAATAGGCCGCCATGTCGGTGGCAGCGCTAGTTTATAGGTCGATTCGCCTATCTTTTCCAGTATTTCAAACGGACCGTGTCTCTTATCGTCCAGTTTCTTGGCTGGTCGATCTGTTGAGATATTGGTCGCTTCTACGTACACCTTATCTCCTACTCTATATTCCACTGCTTCTCTTTTCTTCTTATCGTACTGCTTCTTCATCTGTTCAGCTGCCTTCTGCAGCGATTCTTCTGCTCTCTTTCTTGTTTCTGTCATTCTCTTTACGAAATCTTCTGCGTTTTCGTTCTTTACCCCCACTTTCACTACTTCCTGTGTTCTCGGATGATGTCCATGATTCAGGTAGAACGGGCTGTATCCCGTCGCAGAATGTTGTTTGTTATTGTAAGAGAATTCTGCTAGGGTGAGCCATTCTGCCCAATCATCTTGTTTATGGTTTACGAAGATTCTGAGATACTGTTCTATCTCTTGATTGATCCTCTCCGTCTGTCCATCCATTTGTGGATGCCAAGCCGTTGATGGGTTCGCTTTTATCTGAAGAAGCGTATGTAGATCTTTCATGAATTTTGAAACGAATTGCGGTCCCCGATCTGAGATGATCTTTTCGGGTATGCCGTGGTTTCTGAATATATGATCTCTAAATAGTCGTGCCACTCCTTCTGATGTGATCTCCATCTGTGTGGGAATTACCTTGATCATTTTGGTAAATCGATCTACTACTACCATTATCATGTTATATCCATTTGATTCTGGTAGCGGTCCGATCAGATCTACTGATATGATCTGCCAAGGTTTATCCGGGATCTCGTTTGGGATGAAGCGGTGCTGCTTTCTTTTTATGGGTCTGTCTTAGTCCTTTGGCAGACTTCGCATCCATCTACGTATCTCGTGATATCTCGGTCCATGTAGGGCCACGTATCTCGTGATATCTCGGTCCATGTAAGGCCACCAGTATTGTCGAGTGATTAACTCCTTTGTCTTATATCTTCCTGGATGGCCTGCAATAACAGAGTCGTGGTTTCGTCGGATAATCTCTTCCCTTAACGCAGCATCTTTCGGTACATAGATCCTGCCTTTGATTACTATGCAACCGTCTTCGTCTAGCCAACCATCCTCTCTCCTCTCTATCTTTCCTTTCATCTTTTTTATCAGCTCATCTACATTTCCTTTTCTCTTTGTAATCCACTTTGAAATCTCTGCGATCCTTTGTCTTTGTTCTGGAGAGAGAGTCATTCTTACAAATAGTTTCTCATCCAGTAGCACGACGTCTTCATTGTCGTTTTCTCCTTTGTTGTGATCTGACCGTCTCGAGAGAAGATCTGCTTTTATATGTTTCCTTCCTGGCATATGGTGTATCGTGAAGTGGTATTGGCTTAACTCCGTCATCCACCGTGCCTGTCTCCTATTCAACTTCTTTGGTTCTTTGAAATATAACATATTTTGATGATCTGTCCATATTTCGAACTCTTCTTCTGCGTCTATCAAGTAATGTCTCCATTCGTTAAGTGCCGTCATGATGGCAAAAAGTTCTTTATCATAGATCTCGTAATTGCATTCTGTGGGGTTTAACGCTTTGGAGAGGTATGCAATTGGCTTCCAGTCATCCTTTTGTCTTTGTGATAAGACAGCACCCATAGCGAAGTCACTACTGTCTGCTTCTACTTTGTATTGGCCATGTGGTACTGGGAGAGCTAACACTGGGGCTGAAGCTACACGTTGTTTTAATGTGTTAAATGCTTCTTGTTGTTCATTTCCCCAAATGAAGTTCTCTTTTCCCGTTAACTTGGTCAATGGTTTGGCTACTTCCCCGAAGCCCTCTATGAATCTTCGATAGAAATTTACAAATCCCAAGAATGCCTGTATATCCTTTTTATTTTTGCATTCTGGCCATTTGCTAATTCCTTCTACTTTTACCGGATCCATGCGAATTTCGTTCTCTGAGATGATCAGTCCCAGGTATTCCACTTCTGTCTGTTCGAAATCGCATTTCTCTGGCTTAAGATAGAGATGATTCTTTCTTAGGATTTCTAACACACGTCGCGTCGTTGCTCGGTGCATTTCTATATCCTTTGTGAATATCATGATATCATCTAGATATATGATTACTAATCCTTCATCTATCAACTCTTTGAAAAGCGTGTTCATCATCATTTGGAACGTGGCGGGGGAGTTTTGTTGGCATATCCTGTTTATGATACACTCACATCCTATCATTTTATCCTTTTATTTCTTCATTTCCATACACCATTCTTTCATCTCTACTTGACCGCTTTTCCACTACATTACATAAGCTCAAAACTTTCCCACACTTATTCCAAAAACTCGTAGCACTCTGCCTTACACAAACCTCAGTCTCTTGATTATAAGACTGAGGTATGTCTGGTTATTTTACAGTTTACTTTATATCATCATACTCACTTTACACTATTAGAAATACTCTCTTTTAGGTATATTATCCTTCAATATGAGTCTCTTGATTATAAGACTGAGAAATACTCTCTTTTAGTCTTCTCATAGCCTA